AAGGTTAAATCGCTTAACCGCATCCCAAATAGCAGAAGATGTAAAACTACAATTTAAAAATCAATATGCAGTGACACAGAAAAAAATATTAAAAGCGCTGGTTATCATGGGCGCGTGGCACGCAAAAGCCTTAAAAATCGTATGAAGCGCATTGATTCGCAAACGAACATATTATAACAACCTTTATCTTTCTGGCAATCGTTTATGGTCGGATGAGACCAATATTGTATATTTGAATAAAGGAAGACAATGTGTGGCGAAAACTGCTACGGCTTTGGCACGAAATCTTACTTCAACCGTAAATCATGGTGGGTGGAGTTCTATTGGGGGTGTATGGCAGCAAGTGGAGTTGGTGGCATTGAGTTTATCGAATATAATGAAAACTTTGATTATCTAAATATTTTAAAACGACAAATGAAGCAAAGTGCGGACAAATTAGATTGCCAAATGTGTTTTGTTTCCACAGGACAAAGACCCTAAGCATACAACGGAACTTGTTCGCCTTTGGCTTCTTTACAATGCTCCAAACAGTTACATGTATGCGGAGATGTACATTGTACAGAAGATGTATGCGAATTCTTCGGCAAATAATAATTTTAGAAATAATGAGCAAATACAAAATACAGAAAGTCCCGCATCACAGATTAGATGTCGAAGACGTCTGTCCGAGAAAATAACAAACTCTTTAAATAGTGCAGACGTAAAATAATCGTTTTGTGAAATAGCGTCAGAATCCAGAATTCGCTAGAACGATTTTTGTATCGGCGGAAAACAACGACGTACTGTCTACTGAACAAAGTGTAACACTGTTCAACATAGGAGAAGATGGTAAAATCGTCCGTGAGTAAAGGAAGCACGCGTGATGAAATTCAAATAGAGTATGCAAGAAGAAATCCTTAAATAAGAAGAGATTAATGTTATAACTAGAAAAAAAAAACAACGCCGACAGCTTAGCAGAAGGGATGCAAGGTCAGAAATTTTTAATCTGAGATTAGCCGAGATAAGTAGCTAGATCCGTCTTCATAGAAATAGCCTTATAATTGTAAATCCATTTGCCTCCAAAAGTTTTCAGGTCACAACCGAGTTACAACTCAAAATCTACTAAACGTAAACTTTGTTCAACACTTGATTCCACACGATGATGGTTTCGAGGTTTTGAAAGAGTTAGATCCCCTGCAGCGCAATGAGAAGCTTTCAAGAAAAGGCAATTGCAATGATTCGTCAATTTGAGCTTCCAACCTTCTTCATAACTTTATCGCTGCTGAATCTCGGTGAATTAAGCATTATGGCTAAAACTGTTGATTTTAAATATTTCGGAAGCCAACAATTTAACAGACCAAGATATGTATCGCTTAAATGATCAGATGCGTTTACTTGTGCAAAATATTTTGACAAACCTAATCGATAGTTAGTTAAGCTTTTTAAAACTGTCGTTTTTGGAGAGGAATTTGTTAAAAATTCCCCGGTTCGGCTCTTCGAATGCACATAACATGTATTGGCTTAATTATGCTTCCAGGATCAACATTCGAGATCCTCAGATATTCCCTGATGACATTAATTTGACATAGACGATTACATTTCTAGAGATTGAGCAGGTGAGCCACTTAAAAAATTATTTGGGTTACCAAAAGCATAACCGCAGTCGGTCTCGTACTAGAGAAATAAGAGGACAACAATTTTGTCGTTTTGGTATACCATATCCAACAATGATTTCCACACAAATATTGCTACCTCTTTCAGAAGTAATTAAAAATTTCAAAAGACATAAAGAAAACATTTTTTTGAATCTCTTTCCTATTCATTAACTCTTACTACAGAAGACATTTCGATTTGGAATATGAGAGTAGAATAATACTTGATGACTATTTGCTAGCTCTGAGGTCAAGCTTATCTAAACTCAAAATTTTTCTACAAAGAAAAATACAGCATCCTTTCATAAAATCTTATAATCCTCTAATTTTGGAACTCCATAGGGCAAATATGGATATCCAATATATACTGGATGCATATGCTTGCTGTTCATATACATATATTGTATATAATTACATCAATATATCTCACAGAGGAGATTTTGTAGGCTCTTAAATTAAGCTATATATATCGAAATAAATGACGGAAATTATACAGGTAAGCAAAAACTAAAACACGGAGTATGTAGGTCACAAATTTATATCTGGTAGAAAAAATCTGCACAAAAAGCAGCCTATTGCTGCATTGGGCTCCATCTTTAAGAAACGAGTGATGCAGAAATAATTATAAATACGTCTCGACCCGAGGAATCTGATCGTGCTATGTGGCACGTAACCCGTCTTGTTGGAACCAGATGTTGGTAAGATCAACTTATTCCAATTGTGGCCATAAAAAGTTGGTTATCATCGATCTATAGCGTTTTCCATTGACAGTAACGGTGTCACCAGCTTCATTTCGAAAGAAGTACGGACCGATGGTTCCACCAGACCCAAAACCACACCGAACTGTCAATTTAGGTAAATATTTTTGATTTTAGTGGTTTTCTAGATGGAAGTGAGCCTCATTGATGACGAATAATTTTCTTTATAAAATCGTTATCGTTTTCAAGTTGTTCCAAGGCCAATCAGCAATTCACACGTTTGCGTAGTCCAGCTGTCTTCAGTTCGTGGAGTAAGAACAATTATGGATGCAACCTAATCCTTTCTCAAAATTTGCCAGGTTGTGGCTTGAAAAAGTCCCAATTCTGAGAAACGTCATGTAATCGACAAATTGCAGTCTTCAGCAACATTTGCCTGAATGCAGGGTTATTTTCATTACTTCGAGTGGTTTTTTTGTCTATGTACGCCGAAATTTTCAACAATTCGATCGAATAGCGACATGGACGATTATTACACTAAAAGGCAAAGTGCACGAAAAAATGGAATGTGGAACGATTATTTTGATGATAAAATTGAATAATTTGTAATTGTTCTTTCGTATATCTTCATTTTGGAGTTCAGTGTTCTATTTTTAAGAGCATTGAATTTCCTTAAAAGGACTGTCCGATTTTTTTATTATAATTTGTGTATTTCATATTTTGATTCTGCTTTTCTAAGAGTCTTCTTAACTGTACTTGTTGTATGAAAGCAGTAACAACCGGTTATGTACGTCACTCAATCAAACAAATTCTCTCAATAGGAAGGCTTGTATGTTGATTCAATATCCATAATAGTATAAACGTCCAAATCGAATCGAATATTTTCTGAACTTTAACTGTAATTTGGAGCAATGTTATCAGAAAATTAGTTTATGAGTAAAATCCAAATATACTTGTGAATACTATATTTATAAAATTTAAGCCTTATGCAAATATTTCCTATTAGTAGTATGTATGATGAATGTATGAACATATGTGATAATAAGACCGACTAACAAAATTTTTACTTTTTTTGTCACATGAAAACTCTGTTAATATTGTGTTATTATTGTGCATGAAATTTAAACGCGTAACAAACAATCCTCGAATCAACAGTAACGTACCTTCACATAACCTCAACTCTACACGTCCCCAGTAGCCTCCTTTTCACTCACTCATTTTAATATTTATTACACTTCGAAATATTTCGTATGAAATATCAAATTAAGATTTAAAATTAAAAAACTGATTTTAAAACTGAATTTATTACAAAAATCAGCACAACACTCGCATTGAAAACCATTTAATGCCTTACTCACTAAGGCATCAACATTTACGGCGTAGCTCTCTCTCTCTTTCTCCTTCCATTACCAGTGGCGTTCAGATGCGTCATACACCCTAACCAATGCGCGTTAAACGTTTAACCCAACCTTTCGCGAACTCCCATTAAAGTTTCATTTCAAAAATAAGTAGCAGACCTGCTGGATGTTCAAAAATAAAGATTTTCGATTCTGGAGACTGGATTCACAGATGAATAAAATTTTAATATTAAATACAGTGATGGATGGAGTTGCCCATATTTAAACACGGTGGAGTTCCGTCATGTTCTGTGGATGTTTTGTTGCAGCTGTGGTGGGAAAACTTGTCCTCATCACCGAAATTATGAATTCTAAGAAATACATTGTTATTTTAAGATCTGAAGATATTGAAATTCCACTAAATACTAACTTTTATTTATGCCATTGCCATATATTTCAATTAGGGCTGTATGAATATGAATTTTGCGTTTGTGAATTAATGATTTTAGGTTTTTCCTGCCATATTGTTTACTTTTATATAAAAATCAATAAATTCGGTATACTGCACTAATTTCTTTAGTTGAACAAGACCGCCAACTTCTACCAAAACCAAACAAATTGTATTATTAAAATTATGTTGAGACGGTAAGTTTGCTCTGTTCAGTACACAAGTAGTCTATTTAACTACAACTTGTTGAAGGTAGCTGAGAATTACACAGCAACAAGATATTAATAGACAAGTGGAACGAAAGTTTTAGTGGTGATTCGGAATTTCTTGCACTGCTGCGCTATGAATGAACAATGCGCTTGATAAATTTTTTCTGGTAGGTATGTAAGTGTGTACGTGATGCTTCACTCACCAAGCCATCAACCCTTGCTCCGTAGCTCTCTCTCTCTCTTCTTTCTCTTTGCTCACCAGTGAATACACCCTTAACTGCTGTTGCGTTAAAACGTTTAACGCAATCTTTTCCGAACTTCCCTTAAAGTTTCCTTCAAAACTGGATCGATTGAAACAAAATTATTATATAGTGTTAATAGGGTAAACTAACTTAAACCAAAATCATCACATAGCTCGTGTGCAAAAACAGTGTTACCAGTCTTATGATTTCAAAAGCTTAAACGTATACAAATATAAAATTAGTCACTATTGTTTACGATGCAGGCACCATATTAAACATAAATTGTAAATAGTACATTGTATTAATATATTTTATATTAAGGAACTCTAAAATGAATCCTAATTTACATTACATAATATTTTTCTAGGTAGATGCGAACCACTCCTCCCAAACTTCAGTCGTAGAGTTGGTTATTGTTGTGTTGTTATTAGCCAAACGAGTAAATCAATGACGTTGATATATAAGGGTGATTTTAACTAAAATTGTATATACATATGTATATTATCTAATAAATAAATGATATGCTCGGTAAGTAAGTTATTTGAACATATTTTTGTCCATAAGTATTATTAAATGAAGCTTTAAGTAACTTAGAGCTTTTAATTTTCTATATTTATTTGGCATCTGTCTAAAGAGGGGCTTCTTACTCCCAACCTTATATTCAACAGCAACGCCACAAGGCAAACGTGGTAAAAACAGAACGGTTGATTGCAACTTTAACTACTAAAATTTAAAATATATTGAAAGTTGACTCTGGCAATCACAATGTAGTATCGGACTGAAGGTAAGCTTTATACATACTGTTCCTGCGGATAATTGCACTTAAAATTGCAACAACAATCACAAAAATTGTTCATTAAACGGCAATCAATTAACCGATACCGTTGAATTAAATGTAATGTAATGTTCAATTACAGGAATCTCGCTTAATTGGACAAAATAATCAATTAAAATACATTCATATATGTGCTATAAGTGTTTATTTAGTTTTTAATAATGATATTTAAATAATATTTTTACTTTCAACGGAAAAAATATGAGGAACAAATGCAAGGACAATGCACTTACGAGGTGTATATATATTTTATTTAGAGCATCTTGTTTAAAAAAATAATATAACTTAGCTACAAAAAAATTCAATTATTGCATGTACTGGTACATATGCAGGCACTTGCATTCACCTTAAAGATCATTGCTTACATTTTTAGAATGTTAATTTAGGAAATCTTTTTAAATTTTTTTTTAGGCTCTAAACATTAGCACCAGAGATAATGTCAGCACCTCCAAAATATATTCACCAATAAACATATTTATATTTTCAGTTGCTTTGTAGAGATATCAACAGCTGCTTATCACAAACGCTACGAAATACAGACATATGTATGGAGCAACGTCGAATTATATTTTTAACAAGTTTTTAGTGCAATTAACCGAGGGGAACATTTTTTGCAATAAAACACTATATTTTAACCAATTATGGGAAAACCAATTAAACGGGTTCGGTTTAGCGAAAAATGTACACGCATTTTGTATCAGTATTTTGGACCGATCAGGTGATTCAAATAAGGGGCAAAATGAATTAACCGGGGGTCAGTTAAGCGAGGGCACCTCATAATTGTGGATAAAGTCGTATATCACAAATACTAAAATACCGGTTTGGTGTTGCAACTACTTTAAGCCTCCGGAAAAAAAGAGACTCAGGAAGTCTAGAGGCAGTTCTTTAATAATCATGAAACTACGCCAGTAACTCTTACAGGTGCCAAGTGAGCAAGCAGAGTACTCGTCGCGCCAACAGTTTTCTCGTGTTGTTTCGATGGGGTCGGACTTCCTGTGATGTATAAGTTATTGTATTAATATTGTTATAAAGGTCGATTTGTATTAATATTTTCCATTTAATTAAAATGATGGACACATTTTTTATCTGGATCGTTCCAGGTGAATTCAGATGCATTGCTTTTAATGTATTATATTTTGTTTAAATTTTTTGTTTACATTTTTTCTCTTGTAGTGTCTAAATCAGTGAGATAATGTGATAAATTTCCTTACTGCTAAACAGATGGCGCTAGTCAAGTCGCACAGGGAGATTTCGAGTAGATTAGCTTCAATCTCCTCAGTGACGAGATTAACAAGTGATTTGAATGACGAAATCTTGTTAAATCAAGTAGAGTGGAGAGATAATTAACTCAAAATCTAAAGCTCGTGATTAAGTTTCGGCCAGAAACATGGTTTTACGCGCGAGTACCAAAATGTCTCTTGAACATGTCACCTAACGACTGCTTGTAGCACCTAAAACCAATCGCATAAATATGGAGTTAGGTAATGCAGTATGGCTTATCTAATAATTACATGTTTCTCAATTTCTACCTAGTTTACCCTTTATGAGCAGATATTTGCGGTAGATAGAAGATAGTGGAAACATTAAAAAATTACGGAGGGGTTTTCCTAGTGAATAATATTCAAATCTATTTAAGAACTTACTAGGTTAGGTTAGAAGGTCGAAGGATCCACTTGGACAGCTTAAACGCCGGTCGTTGTGGTAGCCAAACTGCCTATGAGCAGAATCGAAAATACCTAACATGTCGACAAAGCGCTTTGTGCCTATATCAAACTTGTTGAGACGGCCAATATCCGTTTCGGCAAATCTTCTGGTCCGCCGAAAGAGTGATTGCCGAGATGTTTCAGTCTTGCCTAGCAAAAGCCGGACAGCCTCACCTCACCCTCTTTTTGATAAACTTTACCATAGATCCGAGATGAACTTTGTTCGTTAGTGGAGAACCAACTCCGATTGACCAAATTCTGAGGGCTGAAAATGGAGAGAATTGTGGTGGACCTTTGCATAAGCCCAGCTTCTCTGAGCCTTAGGGCACACTTTGCAGCAATGCACCTGTCGACAATGTCCTGACGACCTATATGTAAAATAGCATTAAGAGCTGTCGTTGGTGTGGTCGGCACTGCACCGAGATTTTTATGAGCGCCACTCTTTGGATCCCTCAAGCTTTTAGCCAGACTAGCCCTTTCGAGCGCCCTTAACCAGACGAACACAGCATAGAACAATATTGGCTTCACTACGGTTTCGTAGAGCCTGAACACCACTTTTGGTGTTTGTTTCTGATCTTGTGAGAGTCTCCACTTTTTTCCTATAGTTCCACTGCAGCAATATAAGACGACCGATTCCTACTTAACTCTCTCCTCGATGTTTGGCCTCAAGAAAGCTTTCTATCAAAGATAAGCTCTAGGTAATTAACTTATCACCGGGTTTTAAGACGGGAATCCTCGAAAGAGGGGATAGGCCCGTTGGGGATCTTATACCTCCTAGTAAAAAAAACCATTTCGGTTTTACTTGGGTTACGGCTAGGCCGCTTCTATTCGCCTACTTGGGTACCACGTTAAGTACAAATTCGGCAAGTTCATAGACGGTAGATTAGAATTTTCTCCTAACCATAAGAACCACATAAATCTGCATAGGCTATCGTACGACGCCTAGTTCCCTATTAACCTTTCTAGTTGTCTTGGCACTACTCCACTCCGCTACTACAGTTCAAACCTTTCGAGGCTTTAACCACTGCCCCTTGGCCGCACGTTATTGAAGGCCCCCAAGATGGGCGGAAAGGTGCCACAGTAAATACCTTGTTCATAAGGGCTATCTCCTGCCATGACTCTACATCATGCTCAGCAGTGTCGACCGACCTGCCTTTGTTATAGGCATGCTGCGTCTGTAGCAGTTTACTTCTCGGTAATCTGCTCCCAATGTACAGATCCATAAGTCCTCCAGCGTTTCAACAGAAACGTCGATAGACTGATGGGTCTGAAATCTTTTGCCACCGAAATGAGAGTTTTTACCCGCCTTCATAATAAACGCAACTTTAACCTGTCTCTAGGCCTTCCGGACATGGCCCAATCTAACACAGTTCGAGTAGATGAGCGCCAGCCAGCTGAAGCTCCCAGTGGCACTTCTTCAGCAGAGCGATTCAGCGGAAAATCAGCATCCAGGAGTAGCTGCAACGACTCTCGTACTCGTTGTCCACCTGCTATCTTCATTTCTTAGATACCCCAATGAGTAGGACTTATTGCAAGAATGCGCCTGAACTTTAAGGACTCGTGACAACCCTCTACACTGCCGCAGAAGGCTTTCATGGCTTCCTCAATTCGTTTGTAAATGGCCAACCGGCTTTGTCTAATGCCCAGACTTCACTACAGCCAATTTTACGGGCTTTATTGAAGAGTCTTTTACTCGAAGATCTGATCGTTGTTAGCTCGAGGTCCACCAAGGTGGTTTCTCTTACCTTCTGAGTTTTAAGAAAATAGGAGCTTCAAGAGTAGTTCTACTAACAAAGCTGGAAGTCTCGACGAGCTCATCAATCGCGTCCGCAGATAGGATCGAATCCTGTCAGGCGCGGTTGGATGAACTAGTCGAAGCTTCCTGCAATACAGGACCCAATTGGTATTCCTGAAATTCTTATGGTTTTGTGCTTCGGGCGCGAGGATTCCCCGCTGAAGCCAATATATTTATGATTGGAGAAGGAATGGTCGTCTAGAACTCTCCATTCCAAGACAAGGGAGCAATTGTCAACGTGACGTCAAGGACTTCCGCCCTGCTAGCTGTCCCAACAGTAGGACAGTTTCCCCTATTGCAAATAATAAGGTCTGCACCACAATAAATCAAAAAAGTGACTCACCTCTTGCGTTTGTGTCCGAGATCACCCACACGGAGTGCCCGGAATTGGCATCCGAGCGTAATAAAACCGCGGCCCCTTTACGCCAGGTCTCTGCCAGAGCCCTCCTTAGCAGGTCCAAAGGTGGCTTCACCTCGTCGTCGTGCGGCATATAGGCTTAGACAAGCCAGAGTTTTCTAGCACTGTCCTCCAGTCTAGTAGGAACGACGTTCTCGTTGCTGACATTAGGTAAAAAAAAAACGTTGAGTTCGTTTCTGACCATCAAGCAAGCTCTGGTTCTGCCTGTGCTGCTTGCCGCCAGGAGCTTATGGACTTTTGTCCTTGTCCAGATATTTCATAGCTGCTCAGCCACGGTTCCTGAGTATCAGCACTATCGGTTTAGGAGTATCAGCACTTCGTGATATGGCTCTTAGGTCTTCCAGATTAATCACCTCCAGTCTTGGCGTGCAGATAGAGATGACGGCAGTACCCAACATCTCTTACAATTTCGGTCGAT